AAACATTTGCCATTTGAAAAAGGCGAGGGTAATAAAGCCAAAAGCCACCACTGGTTTTGCCGTGGTAAGGTCATGCATCTGGCCTATTTGGCACAATACGGTAAATCAATTTCAAGACAGGTTTTTTTTTTATTTGCACGAAAGTCAGGAAATCCGTTTTTACTCTTTTTAATCTTGCAAGCATTTGCCGATGATTAAGAACTATTTAGACATTGGAAATTTCAGAGGCCACGTAATCGTATCTAGATATATACTGGCGGTGAAGGTTCTCGTGATATCAATTCGTGAAATTGACCATAGTGTTATATGGATGGTCCATTGGTGTCCGTTATAAAAATATAGTCATACGTCTTAAAATATTGTTATCGTCGGTCTTTAATAGAGCGGTTCATTTACATGATATAAAATTGGAAAATCATTTTAATCCTTTATTTACCACGGGTTAAATTTTGTTTTTTTTTTTTTTTTAAGTTCACATTTAGAAGACGAAGAAAATTGAATTTCGATTTCTGAATTTCATGACTGCATTATTTCTAGGACACGGATCAATACACAAACATTTTGATAGATACATAATAATATGACGTTATAATCACATCGATACCATCGGTTTCGATACGCGCGGTTTGGTATCATCGTAGGGAATTTATTATACTATATAATTGGTAAATAAGTAGGTAAATAAGTTTCGCTTGAAAGTCATAAAACACGAAAATTGCTCGACAATAATAATTGTTACGCGACATGGTTTTGATTATTTTGTATTATGCGGTCGGTATACCGTCGTCATACCGACGGAAATTGGTCCGATTATAGCAATACCGAGAAGACGTACAGGAAATTATGACGAGTTTTATGATGATAATAACGCCGGTTGACATTGGAAAATACAGATATAGAGGGTGTTTATTTTATCGCGAAGGTTTTGAGTACATTTAATTTTCGTGTATTTTTCAGTCACTACTAGAATCGTTTGAAAATGAAGGTAACATTTTGAAAACACAGACCACTATTAACAGGTTCTAAATGTAAAAAAAAGAAATCCGAAATTATTATTGTATCTCATCAAAGGTATGTAATGTATGTAAAACAACTTTATAATCGACCGTATATGCCGAGTTCCATAAGTCCAATGAGTGGTATGAAATTAGCATCCGTTATATTCTAAGAGCGTAAATTGTATTGATTAACCGATTGGAATATTTGTTTATGCCTCGCATTGATATACCTGTAATATACTAGATTGCAAACAATTATAATATGCTATAGGTACTCGCATTTGCATATAATATGGATGAAACCATTTTCCGTTATTTTCGTGGGGATTCCGATTAAGAATCTCATTACGTATAATATATTATTACAATATTAGATATTAATAAAGAATAAAATGGTGACAAGTGAGGGAGAGAGAATGACGAATCACTGTAATCGCCAGAATGTCCACAAAAATGGCGGTCCGGGGCGTTTTCAACGCTTGTCGCTAAATAGTTAGCAATTTATTAGGTAGACTATAGGTACTAGATACTATAGGTATACAATATAGGTAGACTTAAGGTAGGCTATATTATGATGTAATTCTGTGATGTCATGAATCGTGCGATAATATTGTAGAAACGGTATGTGACTGATTTCAAATATTTTTCATATTATTATCACGTATTTACATTTAATTCAAGACATACGAAAAAATATTTCATGGGTTAGGTAATCTATTTAAGTATAAATTCGCTTTCTTGGTATAAGACTGCTGAGCTTCAGATTTACTCTGCTATCCAATTGTTTCAAAATAATGATTTTATTATTTTCAATTTCGTTTTTTATTGTAGTTCAGTGAAAAATATTCGTAGAGACTTGAAATTCTGACAACAACTTTATATTTGCTTTTTATAGACGTGATAAAATTTTAAAAATATTTGAGCCATTTTTAAGCTATTGGACACTTTAATTTTACGAGTTTTGTACGTAATATTTATTCAGTAAATACTCTGTGGATAAAATTGTTAAATTAAACAGAAATGCTTGACAATTTAACAAGAGGTTCATTATAAATTACATATAGTGGTCAACAAGAAAAGTTGAGTTTAATGTAATTTATTTTTTTTTATAAGAATTGTATTATTAAATTTTGACGAAAATTGTGTATATTACGGCCTTTTAAACATGTATGACCGAACTCCAATCAAAATCGATTTTCCTTAACAAATTATTAATTAGTAAGTTATTAATTGTTTGATACAAATATAAATTCCCCTCTATATCCTACCTTCCCAACTTGTGACCTATAATAGTAGCTCATTCAGCGAAGGATTTTTGTCTTTTTAATTTTACTTTTTAATATTATTATGTTTTTTATACTTAATAATGGACTTTTTTTTTTTTTATTAAACAGGTAATATTAACATAAGTAATATTATGTACGGTAAATTTATAAATAGCGTTATAACATAGTTGTATAACATATGTTATAACGTTATATAATCTACGTAATTAACTTTGATAATCGCTATTAATTTACTTTAAATACTTTTTTACATTTTGTAAATATGGCCTTGCGGACCACCAAAAAATGTCTTACGAATCCCTGGTGGTCCACGGACCATAGGTTGAGAACCACTGTTGTAGACTATTTAGCTAGATAATATCAATACTGATTACCGAATACTATTCAAAAATATTTAAAAAAAATGATTGACTAAAGATGATGTTAAAAATATTTTATACATATATGGTTTGATACTCCCCGTCATGATTATAGGACGTATAGTTACTAATTAGTGACTACGAAATAAGGATTGGTAAGGTATATGTGGGTATCGTGTAAGTACAAGGTATTGCGTATTTACGTCGACTGAAGGTAAGAAGTATTGCCTATTATTGGATACCACGTTATTAAATATTATTATTATTATTATTATTATACTTGTACTATATTTTGTGATATTACAATATTACCTACTGTAATTATTGCAATTTTCAGTATTGCACAAGCGACTGGCAACCACGATTAACGAATGTGGTTATATTTATAAAATAATTTCAATTATAATAATACTAATTAATTTACATCCATTTAATTTTTTAATAACTATTGTATTCATTAGCGTTATTTAGATTGTGCAAAAATGTACATTTGTTTGTTAAAATTCTATATTAAAGTAGTTTGGATCGTTATAAATTGATATAAAATAAATATGCTAATTAGCATATTCACTGATATTAGTTCATATATTTTATTTTTCTTTTGATTTGAAGCAAAAAAAAAAAAAATTAAGTACTAATATACGTGCTATATTCGTGCTTATTAGTAATTTTTTTAATGTTTCATTCGATAGTTTAATAAATTTGTTGTAAAATATGTAGATTATTTTATTTTTGTTGTGTTGAAAATTATAGACAGGTTTTGTAGCCTGTATAAACATATGCGTATTAAGAAAAATATTGAAATTACGCTGAAATACTGACTGTTTTATTTAATATTAAAATAATTATGACTTACCATAAATAACATTCTGCAGTATAGGTTTTAGGTTTTAGCATTAGATTACAAAGAATAACAAAGACGTACACACGTCGAATACGGCAACTACGGTCGAAAATTAATTAAAATTTGAACCTAAAAGTATTTATTTGTTATTTAAACCGGTATAAACCGCAAACTCAATTTCATATTTTTAATATTTATGATTGAAACCGATACCTCGATAATTTTTCTTTTGAAAAACCAAAACGAAACCGAAAGTGAAAAAAACGTAAACGTTACAATCTCTGGTAGCAACACCCTCCCATCAGTCCCCCCACCGCTTGAAAATGTTTGTTTATTACAGATATATATATGAATAGCAAAATGATAAAAGATAAATGTTTTAAAAATATTGCCATGTGTAACTATGTCAATTACATTACCATCTTTGTACTACAAAAAAATTGTAATGTGAAAAATGATTGATTTTTGATGTCACGAACTATGACAGTAGTTTATAATTATTTGATAATCGCAGCCATTGATATAAATTGAAGACGATTTCCATTTTTCTATCAAGAAATATACCAATATATATAAATATATATAACTAATAATAGTTATCTATCTTGGTGCATTTTTTTGAGAGGGCCGGTACGTATTATCTCCGTCTTACAGACGTACGACATAGCAAATTAGCGTTCAGACAGGAAACTATTGGGCTGTTAGTTTTAATATTAGAAATATCAGAGTGAATTATTATAAAATTATTATTCTTATCAAACTTAAAGACATGAACATCATATGGGTAACGTATTTTTCGATATTTTAATTTTAAAACAAGATACGAGTAGGTATGTTAAATAACCCAATTTAATAATCCTCACAGAAAATGTTCACTTGAAAATTAAACTATCTAAAAAATAAAATCAATGTTGTATAGATTCTTATCTTTAAATTTGATAAAAGGTCAAATTTGTTCTAATATTAAAACTAATAACACAAATTTATCCCTGAAAAACGCTAATTTCTTATGCCGGAGCACGTTCTCTTAAGTGTTTAACTAATAAATAATGATAACGAAAACCATTTTGGAAATTCCTGGCTACTCGCCTGTTTTCTATACGGAATGTTTCTTAAATGTGTCAACGATTTATGCTTATGAAGATTATGAGCTCTTGACCTAGATTCGCTATGAGTGGGGTCACCATTCCAGCGGCCCAATCGTAGTGAAATTGGCACCGGAAATTTCTTAAGCCCATACAAATCTAAGGTGGGTCAAATGCACCCATTTGCGTCTCCCTCAGATGAAGACACTACATTGAAACTAAGTAATTTATATATATATATATATATATATATACATACATATATACCTATATATATTTGACGAATGATTTAGATTATTTAAGTAGATACATTATGGAAATAATACACTTACGAATGGTATTTATAGTGGCTAGAATATTAATAGTAGATCGTAAACGTCGCCCAATCTGTACGAATTTCCACATAATAGAAACGATGCATCTAGTTTATGAATACAATAATAATATTATCTCTGTGGTTGATCGAGAATATGAAATGCCATACATACCTATATAGACCAATGAATCAATGAATGAATCATTGATTCTAAACGTTTTTATTAACGATCTCCAAATTGGATACCTATACATTTTTTTCGTCACGCTGAAGTATGTTTTTATTTTCCATATACCTACGCACTTCGTAATAAATTACGTAGGTTACTCACTCATCCAGAAGATGGAAATCATCGTACATACGAGGTTTTTTTTCCTATTGAAGTTTTGTAATTGACACTGTTAACCGCAAAATTATATTTTCCTTTTAGCTGTCTAGACTAATACAGAGAGCCGAGGGTTTGAATAATAACCGTACGCTCGAGAAGATTGCAGTTATTAATATGCGAGTAAACAGAGTTAATTGGCGATGAAATAATATAATTATTATACGTATATATATATATATATGTACGTGCCGAATTTATATGAATATAATGTGAAGTTGCGTGGTCATAGTTTTTGGATCCCATAGAATTTTATAACCCTATGTGCAAAAATTAAAACATTGACACATCGAAGGACGACGAAGTCTAGTTAAATTGTGTCCTATTTTCTCCGAAAATAGAGATTGTTGGACTATATTGTGTCGGTTATATATTTATGTATACCATTTTCCCTTGATATTTGATACTTAAAAACGGTTCCATTTGGACAAAATGAGCTCAAACTCGGAAATTAGCGTTGTTTAATTAGCAGATTGTGCGAGAATGTTGGTTTTTATTCTTGGTACATCACTACAGACCACCCAAATGAAATCAGCGGGATGCAGTTTTGTACGAATATATCATATACCATTTAAGTATTAAGAATATGTCTTTTGGGGTGGGTTTTAAGTGTTTCAATTATCAATACCATCCAAAACCATTTTAATATTTAAATTGTTATGTTTTAACGGAAAATACTGAGTTTATAAAAAAAGAGCTGATATTGAAAAAAAGTGCGGCCACTGTTGTGGGTGGGTAGTTGGAAAGTTGGGATACATAAAGTTATTTAATTTATTCCTGTAACCAATGATAAACCATTGTAAACGAAAATCGATATTTGGCCACTGGTATAGTTAAAACAAATTTTCTTCTAAATTATCAACACTGTCTTTATGATAATATTATATTTTTAAACTGCATTATACATAGTAATACATTTCACTCATTATTTCCCGAAGTATTGACTTTTAAGTTTGGAGCGTAGCGAGGAATGTATTGTTTTACAAACATCATATTTATTTTTATCTGTGAACAAATTTTTTACCAGTAATCTTGCTCAGATTTTCAAGTTTAGTATCTTCTCTTAAAGAAAATTTGTATTTAAGTGGTGATACTTTAAAGAGGTAAATATTTACGAAATGTGTTAGTAAAATATTACGGCCTTTATTTTTCTGTGAAAAACTTTTTTACCGGCAATTTTTCTCCGATTTATAATGAAAGCACTTTTTCTGAAAGTAAATCCGACTGGGGTGGTACTTTAAAAAGGTAATTTTTTGATTTTCCAATCGGTTTTTATAATAATTGGGAAAAACTTAGGAAAACGAGAAAATGTACGTACATATATAAAAGAAACTTCACTCTGAATCGTTTTTTATGAGAAATTATTTATCGTTGCGTACAGATATAAATTAAATTCCCCCTCTACATCCTATCATCCCAACTTCAACTTCTCACCTACAACAGTGGCCCACTCATCGTGCGAAGTTTTTCCGTCTTTTTAAGATAATTTTTTTCTAAAATTCAAGAAAAAGCATTTATAATATGTTACATTAACATTATTTAGCTAGGGGGAAAGTAGTCATGAGGCACTGAGCATCATTTGTGTGGTATCATGGCGCGTGGCATTTAAATAGTTTTTCACTATTCTTCCCCTTCCTAAACTTAAAAATGGAATAACTCACCAACTGATTAACGGAAATCAAACATTTCAACACCAACATTTATTTTAACTAACACTTCAGCAATTTATGGAATTTTCAATATAGATTTTCTTTAAAAATTAAATGTAGTCGTTTCATCCCTAAAAATAAGGATATCAATAAATAAAGGTAATATAACATTTTAGAACGGTTTTTTACTTTAATTGACAATAAAACTGTTTTCGAAAAAAATCAATAATTTTTGTAGTCATTAATTAACATATAATTTTTAAATCTATAACGTAACTAACTTGATCATGAAGTTATATTTCTTTAAAACGATTACAAATAACACAATAATATTCGAAAATCATACATTCAAAAAATAATTATTATTTTGAACAAATGCATGCAATAAATTTATTTGATGCATAAAATTCATAAATGATAAATAATAACGATAAAAAAAAAAAGATGTTTAATTTATAAGAAAATTGCATGTTATAAATTACTGAAAAGAAAAAATATTCGTTAAAATAATATTTAAATGAGTTGTAATTTGTTTCTTGTTTAATTTAAAAATACAAATGTAGGTGATGTTTAATATTACTTCGAGTTAAATACTCGTCATATTATATTTTTTTGTATTTAAATTAATATTTCAATAGTTTTACAGCGGTTATAATTTATTATACTTACATTTCTGTTAATTGAACGTAATAAATAAAATAATAATTTATTGTTAAAGAAATTCGAGTCTTCTCCACAATAATTATTATTGTTATTATTTTCAGGGAGTATCGTTGATTTAATATTATTACATTTGTATTTAAACTCAAACTGCATACAATATGTTATGAAGAACCAATTCAAATTTAATTTAATTCAATGGAGTTAAATGTTTTTACGAAACAAAATGTATCATTATATTTAGAGGCTATTTTTCCTGACTTTCCGTAGTGCACGTACATGCATTTGAGTTTTGAAAATTCCAATACTGAAATTCAATATAACTAAAATGTCATTTATTTATGAAATTTTTAATGTAGTTTGCTATTTACAAATCAAAAGTGGTTTCACTTAAAAAAATAGAAAAATCACGAAACAAAAAAAATAAAAATTCCGAAAAAGTAAATACTCTCCAGTATAATAAGTGTCTTATCGAGGATGGACTACACTGTAATTATGTAGAGCGAAAAATGTTTTTAAATCTGTGTCGTAGTGTACACAAAACTCGCCAATGGCAATGTTTAAAATGTATCCCTACGCTTAATTAAACGTAATTATTGTAACTAGTGGATTATGACTTCTATACCTCATACCAATCGAACAAATCCCCAATACTATCTAGTATCCAGAAAAAAAAAAAAAGATGTTTCTTGTTTTTTTATTCATATTATCGATCTGTCATAAACAGTACCATAGAATACCGTGTTAAGTCATACGATCTTACGGATGCATATGCAGGTAGGTATACAATGCTATAATACTAATACATTGCTAACTATCATAATAAGCATAATAATATGCATACAATATGCATATCAATGTAGATGCAACCATTTTTCACCATCTTTGTGATGATTAAAATCGTATTCCGTGATTATTACGATAACAGATATTAATAAAGGATAGTATGGTGATAAGAAAGACAAACAGAGAGAGAGAGAGAGAGAGGGAGAAATAGAGAGAGTGAGAGGGGCTGATCACTCTTATCATAATAATTCTTACAAAAATGGCGGACTATCATATCTTCAATTTTAACTTGTCAATAGTTAGTAACCTATCCATCCGTATGTATATAAATCCGTGTATTATCTATAGTACTCATTATAGATGATTTCATTTAATATTATTTATGTTCAATTAGTATTTTTCATAGAAAAAACAAAACAAATTTCTTATATACTTCCTGAATACCCCTTTATGCATATCATATATATTGTCTGATTTATAATTGCCCAAGATTTAGTCTAATATATATAACTTATAGCTTATAGATATAAAATGTCAATTATTTAAATCACTTTTACTGTTAACGAGACCATTATTTTTAATGATTTTATAGACAATTTTCAAAATATTAAACATCTTCAACTAAAAAATGTATAATAGTTGTTTATGTATTTGTCTTCGATAAAAATATTCTTCGGATGAAACGTACACATCTGCATCTGCAGACATAAAGCGCTTATTTAAAGTTCTTTCGTTATTATTTGAATTAATTGTTTTCGTTTTAAAACAATGGTGGGTACCTCGAGTAGTAGTAGTAGAAATAGTAGTATGTACGTGCAAATAATAAATGTTTATCCGTCAAGGATAATCACGATAAATGATAAAACTTATGATATTTCATCGATCGAATATTCGACTGCCTACTATCTATACATACATACAGTTACTGCACTTTATAAACACAATAACGTTCAAAGAAGTCGATTTTAAATTCAAACACGATTAAAATAATAGATATATTATTGTTTGTGACTTTACGTATCGAATACTAATGTTTTAATTTCAAAGTATCTTGTATCTTGTCATGCATAAATTAGCCGGTATAATTAATTGTAGTTATCCGATTTATACATTTGTTTAATATTTTAAACGTGAGTGGAAAGTACCTCTATTTACGTTTAGGAAGGTATACATTTATTTGATAATCCGGCTACAAGAACCTGTTTTTCATTAAAGTATGTCAATTTCGATATCAGGTGTCTCGACCTACCTACATATACCTACCAATGTTTAATGTCGAGAAATAATTCATAAATATTATACGACGACAAACTTAGTGCCAACTAATTTTTTTTTTGTAGTATTATTCTGAATAATTCTCACTGACAGTTTTCAATATCGGTAATATAATATGTACATATATAGTTTTATTTTCGCTGAATTATTCATGTTTAAAAGTTTAAAGCGATTCTATATAAGTCTCATATTAAAATATAAATCAAATTGGTATTTTTTTTTTTTTTTATTTAAGTAACCAAAATGCATCGCGTGAATATTTCGTTCGGTTTACCTAATATAAGGTACATTTGCAGAGAAAGAAAAAAATACCATACCAAACGACTATGGAATATTAGTAATCGCGATATATGTTTAATTTATTGTGCATTTGTAAAATTCGTATGTATGTCTGCAGACTACGAACGATTTATAATTTGTGTGCTTTTATATATGTTATTAATTATTGTAAACGTGCACAATTTTAGATTCTAAACAGAGCGAGGAGAAGGAATGAATTGACAACTTTTTTACCAACAATTATTTTGCTCCAATTTACAATGATAGCACTTTTTCTAAAAGGAAATCTGACTGGGATAGCACTTTAGGGAGGTCATTTATTTGATTTTCCCAGTTGTTTTCATAATACGTAAATGGGAAAAACTGAAAAAAAACGTAAGCAAATCGGAAGAATAGATACAATATTAAAAAAATATTATTAAAGAAAATATAATACATATGTAATTATTTTGCCATAATATGATATATTATATATTGTTGACAAAGCATTTTTAACCGAACAGAATCATTTTTCGTTAGCAAAGGTTAATCGTTGCGTACAGATAAACATTACATTTTTCTTCTACCTTCCCAACATCTACAACAGTGACATACCCACATACGAAATATGTTCGTCTTTTTGAATTTATACATTAGAATTTTTTGTTTTGGTAGTGTTCAGATTAAGCAATTGAAAATATGAAAAATCTTTAAGTCCTTTTAAGTAGGAATTTTAAATCACTATTTGATCTGCAGTTTCTAGAATTTTAGAGATGACTATTGCATATGCTAATATTGGTAAAAACGACATGTGTAATTTTACACCTTTATAATATATAATATTGCAGAGGTAACCGGATTAATTTTTTTCGGATTTATCTCATTAGCGCACATAAATATAGATCATTTTTTTCTAATAATTATACCATCATCTGGTTGTTCCACCTGCAAGGTCTTCATAATATTATATTCGATTATTTTTTTATTTACGTGCGTGGGAATTTTTTTTTGAAAAGTGATAGTAATCCATAGGTTTTTTTTAAAAATTATATTTTATTGAACATCGATAACGTTAAAGTGTCAATACTTACAAAATATACTACTCATTCCTACATTATAATCCATGTACCGTTTTCAAAAAATATACAGTTCTCAGTCACGTTTACACATTTTTTTCCTAAGTATTTCGGGAGGTATTTTAGAGGATGACGAGAAATTCATTAAAATGTAGGTGGGTGGGTGCCTATTTAGTATATAGGATCTTAACAAAACTTTTAGTCGCAATAATGTCAATAACACTATATATCAAACGGGTTTTCTCCTTGGCCTACTTATTTATCTCATCACGAACGTAGGGCAGGAGGTGGGTGGGTCACTCTTCTTATTCCCGTCTTTCACATCATCGCCGTCGTTATATTTCATATCGCACTATCGTATTATGATAAGTATTAGATATAGTACTATTATGAACGATCGTAGAAAAAAAAATGGGTTTGGAAAAAAAGTATTTATAAAAACGTAGGTAATACTTACGGATAATCCATTAGTACCTACTTAACTACATACGCAGTGATAGTGCAGGTATACTTGATAAAGTACAAATGTGTCTGGTCACGATTTTTGGCGTTTTCCAAGACCACTTATGGCGAGCATTCGATTACGCATTATATATACATTGCGTATTGGTAACATTCGAATGATGATGATGAGATCGCTTTCGACGTTTTGACAACAGATTTTTCATTAAGTTACCTATACTATCAATTTTATATTGCAACACGTCGTCGTTTCTATAGTAGCTGGGTTACGCGATCGATAGATCTTTGAACTTCGCAATCAAGGTCGTATTATATATTATTACGCGTAAAAATTAATTATAAGTTATTATTATATATAATATTTAACAAGGAAACTTAATAATTATTTATTTATAATGGGATAAGGCAAGTTTCACGTTTTACATTGTGTATTTATTGCTTGTGATAATTGGATTAAGTTACGTTATATTATTAATTATAATTAGCTACAGATTATATAGTGTTACATATTGATAATTTACGTAGAAAAAGAGGGATTGCTGTTTGCTGAACGCATTAGACAGCATTTATAGTAGAGTTATCGAGAAAATTAGTAGATTAATAGGGATTATGGAATGTATCATGAAATTTAGTGGTTCGAGGTGGGACTTCAAAAATTAATGAGGGATAAATAGTAGGAAAACCTATAATTTTACCAGTGCACTATAGTGTGGAGATTTGACAGGAATGAAATATTGTTCAACTGCCTACGGTCAGCCAGGTTTTTGAGGCTCAGTCAGGAAGAGTAAACATAGGGAAGACAAGAAATATGGAGTCGAAATGAAACGATGTGGAGAAATCTCTGAATTCTCTCCATTGATGCGAATTAAAACTTAGGTATATTACATTGCTGTCGGTCTCGGTAAAATATAATATTACGTCGATGAGCTGCAGTTTTGACTACGAGAATTGCAGATCAGCCAAGCGGAAATATTATATCATTATGGTATATTATGTATCACGATGGTGTATAAGCTAGAGTATATATCTTTTTACTAAGGATTACATCTTACTATTATCTGTGAGATCATATGAACAAAATATATAGGTGCTGTATAAAACATTTTTCTATATTTTGAGTTTTTTTCCCGACCCAAAAGAGCCAGCGACCCACCAAAATATTGACTTAAGATAAGGCAAATACTTACGACTGGAGCTGAAGCTAAAGTTGCCCCAGTCCCCAAAGTTGAATTTATTCGTATTATCCAATATTTTTTTTGTAGATGTGAATCATAATAAATTAATTTTTATACTTTCAACGGAACAGCATTAAAAAGAAAAAAAAAATTAAATAACTGAGTTCTTTTTGCCACCATTTTTTTTTATCCATGCAACTGGAGGAAATCGGAAAAAAAATTAACTCAAGTCCGAAATGCAAGTTTAATTTCAAATATTATACACATTTTAATTAAAAATCAGGTTTCAAAGTGAGGTCGAAAGATATGTTCATGCTATCGATTTGGCTTGTATATCGCACCCTCCCTAGCCCCCTAAATAAATCTCTAAAATTGGTATACGTAAATTCCTCGCTGCTCTCAGAATTTAAAAGTACATATAATAGGCACGATAAAATAATTCATCACTTTCAATTATAACGTTTTGCCACCGCCCTTGTCGATACAAGTACCGGCCAAAGTTTCATAATTCAAATCGGTCCGGGGTAAATTTCGACTCGGCGACCAGCCCCGCCGACAACTGCAGCTGGCGGGTATTTACCTGAATCAGGGACGTGACTGATTTATAATACTCATTTGTAATACTCACTCGCAGTAGAAGTGCCTCTCTATATATACATATATTTTTTTTTAATTCCATAGTTATATACATTATTAAAAAAAAAAAAAATAATAATAATAATAAAACGAATAATATAAACACGTGTACGGTATTATTTTTATCTCTAGGTTTAAAATCGTTTTTGAAGATTATTGACCGTTGCGCGTTGTAAACATATACATATTTAACATTATTATATATACTTAGCGTGTATAAAATACTCTACCTATAATAGTGGATTAATAATATAATATTAATGTTTATCGAAGTACTGTTCTATTATCACATTATCATTAATAAGAAAAAATAATCTTAAATAGATATAGGTAACGATAAAAAAAAAAGTGTTTCAACAGAATATTACTCATAGAGAGACTCAATGGACTTATATTATATTAAAAAAAAACAAATACAATCTGATTTTGTTGTGGAAAAAGCATAGCCAAAGTTTGTCGGTGAACTGAATGTTCGGGTGAGTATAAATATACAATATATATTTGAAGACTCCGGGAAACTTAATGCAAATAAATATAATCATAGATAATCCGAAAATCATTAATATAGCTAACCGATGTTTTTATGCCCAAAAATCTGCTTTTAAATCAAAACTTGTCTCATTTAAAACACACATTATATTATATAAAAGTGTCCAATAGTATGCTTTGTTCCTGATTGTTGGCGGAATCGTCACAGATATTATTATTAAATATAAAGTAGGTAATCGGCGTATACAAATTATACAAATCTATCATGCCACCGGCAACCACCTTTTTATTATGGTAAGTGATGGGTCATCAAAGATGACTGTTGCACTACGCTTAAGTTTTATGTTATACAGCTATAAAATACACGTTTATAAAGTGGCGTGCGTGAGAAGTGGTTAGTGGATACAGCGGAAGACGCAGTGTAACACATAGTCGGTAAAATATTCGTGATCAATATTATATATAATAAATGGACATGGACACAATAATAATAGGTTAGATTATATTTTTTTTTTTTGTACACGGAAAGAGGCCGGAAAAATCGGATCTCTAAAATATCGATATTTCTATGCACGATCGTTTATTATTATTATTTGCTTAACCATTTAAACGGTTTATTAACCGCATTAACTATATTTTTGTATAAAAAAATGTATACATATAGTTTGCATCTTATTATTTAAAAAAAAATATGTCGCGTTTAGGCCATGAATAAGTCATAATCCTTGTATAGCAAGTGTATGGTAGTTGATATGGTAGATAAAAAAAAATATAAAACTCAAAAAATAACAAAGAGATTTTTACAGCGGCCCTCCCCTAAAAAAAAACATTCGTAAGCAACAGATCTTCTATTTATAAAGTCAATAAAGTCAAATTTGCTTATGCCATTTTATACTATAGAAATATTCTGTGTAAAACAATGTAAGTAACTTAATGGTGAATACTGTAATAATGCAACATTTTCTGTTGTAGACTGAGTATATTACAGCCACGTATACTAATAAGTACAAAATAATCACAAATTCAAGCATAAAAAATGGTAAGGATGGAGATTGAAAGTTGAACTTCTTAAACAGAATATCTTTATATTATACTGCCATCGTATATATACAAACTTTCGCCCCCTGGCTTAATTTGGAGATCTGCAGGGGTATATTCAAAGACTTAAAAATACCTGTCACGATTAAATTCATATTGAAATTTAACCAAAATTGTATTAGTTAAATACAGGTACGGATTCAGGATTTTTAATGGTGGAAGAGGAAGGCATAAATATCCAGAGTTAATACAAATTTATTGGCACCAGAATTTAAATGATCGAGACGCAGTTTATCTTGGAATAATTATTTTAAGTAATATATCAAGTAGTTAGAACAAGTATATTATATTTCATATTGTTCCGTCGTGTGATACAAATGAAATAATAATATAAGAATTAATGTTTTTTATGAATCGTAGAAAGGGATAGGAATTGCGTTCACTAATATTTTAAAAAATAAAAATTTGTATGTATCCTGCTTCAATTAGTTATTATAACACAACTTGAATCATAAATTTGAGCTAATTCGATCTAGAGTAGTGTTTCCCAAATGAGAGGAGGCGTGAATAAATTGTTGTGAAGGAAGGTGCAAGCAGTCATCACGAAGTAAGATTTGTATTTATTAAATAATTTGAATTTTATAATGTAGGAAAAAAATTAACAATTACAATTAGTAATGATCGATGATTGGGAATCGATCAAAATTACGAGCAAGGTTGTATTTAGTTGTTAAGATTATAACGATTTATTTTCTTGATGATCTTTTTTTTTCGTTTGCTCATCATGTTGTTAAAAGGGGGGAGGGCGAGAGATTTTAAAAATCTACAAATGGGGCGTAAAATAAAGGATGTTAGGAATCACTGATCTAGAGGAAGCCGCTAGACGTCTTCAAAAGGATATATACCAGACATAATATAGACTGAAATAGCTCTTTTTTTGGGGAAAATTTGACAAAAACCACGGTAAATTCGATTCAAAATAACTTGTGAAGAAAATTTCTAGATAAAAAAATAAGAAAATCATCATCTCGCCTTATAGTTTCTGTTTTTCTTATAAATAAGGTCATGGATACTTGTATTCAAAAAAAAGAAAAAGAAAGAAAGACGGATATACATCACACATTGGATAGGCCACTGTTGTAGGTAAAATCTATAAATGTATATGTACACGACGATTTCATTGTTAACGAAAAACGATTCTGAGCGGAGTTCGATTATACATTTTTAGAAAGGCAGTAATATTAGGATATTTGGCAAAATTTGATAGTAAAAAATTCTGCATTACACTTAATTTTTTTTTTTATTACAAAATACGACTTATAATAAATCTTTTGTTAAATTCTCTAGAATCTCTGATTGGCCAAACAATTTTACCCACAGAGTACTGATCGAACAAAAAAAAACCTCGTAAAATTTAAATGTCTATAAAAAGTTCAAAAATGCTTCAACGTTTTGAATATTTTACTACGTATAGAAAAGGCAAATATAAGTTTTCTGTCCAAACTTCAAGTCTCTACAAATATTTTTAACTAGATTAATATAAAGTCAAACAAAAACAAAAAATTGAAATCATAATACATTTAATACATTTTCCCAATTTCCTACAGTTTTAACAATTATTATGGAAACAGCTGAGAAAATAAAAAAATTACCCCTTGAAAAAACCACCCCAGAAAAAAAGGCGGTAAAAAAGTAGTCCATAGAAAAAAATAAATAATATCATTGCAAAACCAATAGATTCCTCACTCTGCTCAGGATCTAAAATTATTATTTAGATCAGTGGCGTGTAACCCAAGGTCCAAGTGTTACTCAAGCAACATCTTATTATGGGTGGATGAGTATTGCTAGAATAAGGACAAACGTCAAAATCTGTTCGAAGTTACAACGTTTTACGATACAATAAATAATATTTTTAGCGATATTTTATCAGTAGATATAACAATTTAATGATGGGTAAGTGATAAAGAGATCAAGTGATTAAGAGGGGTAATTATTTGCGTAATATCAATTTTTTTTTGGATATACGCCACTGATATATATATATATATATGTAGTTATAAGTACTTAGTTTATACTCATATGTATTTTGTTGTGGATTGACACGCATTATCATAATAGTGAAAGACACAGTACGATAGCGAGGGAAATTAAATTAAAAACTTGTTTTTCTTGACGTCGACTTTAAAAGCTGTGGCACTAATTGAGCATTTTAATACAAGTTCCAAAATTCAAATGCGCGCTATTTTTCTTCATCTATTCAGTATATATTTTGTGTTTCTGGTGCGTGTCCCAATTAAAAAGTTTAATTTAAGAAAAATCTCGTTATTTATTTGTACGACCTTAATAGGTACACAAAACTAAAAAATAAGTTTTGAAACGTAGTATTGAGTTTTTTTAATATGGATTTAGACCTATATAAATGTAAAAAACTACAACGAATA